TCCATCAAAATCCTCAACAAACTCAAAAGGCAGTATTGAAAAAGGAAGCATGTATCAACACATTACCTTGTGGCTCATCCACAGTAAGGTCATCAATTTTATCCTCAACTTCTTCTTGCACGGCCTTCCCGTTCGCTTCGCTAATGCCATTCGATTGCTCTGACTTTCCGTCCTCCAGCGGGATTTGCTCAGTCAATCCTTCGGTCGCCATTTCTACAACGACGGCATTAACCAAAATTATTACTATTCATGTTCACGTGATTAAACTAATCTACACCCCCCAAAAAAAAAAAAAATCACGAAACAAATTACAAAAAACATGAAATTAGGGCTGAATCAAAATTTGAAATTTTCAAAAACCTGAAAAGAATAGCACAAAAAAGTGAAGAATAATTTATTTATGGAAACATTCCTAACCTTAAAAGGCAATTGTTCGATTCTATTGAAATGGAAATAGGTGTCTGCAGTGGAAAATTTTGGGGCCGCTTTGACTGTTGCAAGAGAGAGTGGGAGATGAGTATTTCCTCCTTTTCCTTGAAAGAGGGGATCCAAATTTACTATTCATCTTGAATCCAAGGTTTCACACCACTGTAGCCGAACGGGTTCCTACCGTTGACAAATCCCTCCCTACTTTATTGCTTCACTCCATTTCACACGCAACATCCATGTCGATTTACTCTGTTTTTCCCACACAACCCTGGACTTCTTAGAAAGTTGGAAAAGTCTTCCCACTCTATTTTCCTAGAAAGTTGGAAAAGTCTTTCCATTTTAATCTAGGTGATTCTGGTTAGGGGTATAAGCGGTCCAATTTTACTATTAACAAACAGTTGAATATAATGCTAATGATTCAACTTAGATGATTTAAATTACCCATATCTAACATTCAAAATGTAATTCACAATAATTTAACATATTTAACACACTAATATTACCCTCAAAATAACACAATCAGTGCATCACAGGGGCAAAAACTAGTATAATAATAATAGTGGGGATCGTGCGTTGCAAGATTACTATTATAATTTTAGAAGATATTTTGTTGAAATGACAAATTATTTTAGAACATTTTGAGTCACATTAAAATTTTTATTTTCATTCTTCTACTTATTTTTAATCACACATTTTTCAATAAAATAATATTTTTCATCACACCAATAATTTTTCTTTCTTTTTTAACCACACATTCTCCATCAATCTACTATTCCAAAATACATTTTTCTTAAATAATGTGGCTCAAGCACACCCTAAATATTAATTATGTAGACAAATTAATATATTGTTATATTATGCTACAACATCTAAACATTGGGGTTTTATGATTTATATTTTTTGAACATTCAAATATGTTTTGAGTTCAATAAATTAGGGGCAGATGAAGTTAATTAGATATTATATACATCAAACGCACTATATAGAAAATTACCCTTCACTCTTTTCAAGACACGCTCTTTCAGTAATATCGATATACACAAACAATTGACCTAAGTTAAAAAAAATTTAACAGCAAGGCCAGATTACTTTAGAGAAGTTGCAAATCAAATAACAACACAAATAACCATCGTCTTTTATGATTCTTGAAATCTCTCTCTAGTAATCAATAAAACAAGCTTAATTACTTGCAAAGCAGCTAAAAATTGTATCTTATCCATGATATAACTTACCACGCTGCAAATAGAAATATACTTCTCTTTTTCCTTCGAGAATTCTATTAGACACATTTGTTGAGAACATCACAAGTGCATCAATCACACATAGAATTATCGTTGATCTACGGAACAAAATTAATATTAGTATAATTATACATCAAGAAAAAAATGCAATTGAACACTATTGCAGCACAACATTGATAAATGGAGCCTCGTAAAACTATTTTCTGAAACATCATTTTAAAAAATAACTAACTCTTGAACATTCTTATAAACAAATAAGGACCGCAAAAAAGTTTTCAGAATCAATAAAATACCAATTGAAAAAAGAAAAAACAATTTTTTTCGTAAAAGAATTACAAATAATAACACAGTCTTAAATAATATCTCAGCATATGAACCAATTAAAATCAATAACATTTCACAAACAAACAAAAGATGGAAATTATCTTATGGTGCGAATTGATAGTTTTTCAAAGCGTACGACCAAATCATGTATGCCTCATAATTAGTTAGGTTAGTTTGGCGTGATCAATGTATCTATATACCTCAACTTGTTAAACCTCAGTGAAAGTTCATTATTTTTCAATATGATATAAGTGAACTTGTTGATATAACCTTCAAAAATATATATATGATGTTGTTTTAACAAAAAATCTAACAATTGTACGCTCAGAATTGATCTTATTACAAATGAAGAATCTCGAAAAACTATCAATAAATTAATATTTCCAAACTAAACCATAAATACTTCTAACAGAATAACAAATGGAATTCAAAGCAAGTAGATCCAAAAAAAAAAACATGATTAGATACAGGACAACGTTAAAAAGTCTTCAAGAATTCAAGTCGATCAGGTTAGTAAAACAATAAAGAAATCAATTGAAAAGACAAAATATTGGATTGGTAAACAACTAAAAATTACGTGCTATTTACAAATTTTGATCTTAGTTCCATTTCCTCCTATTGTATCTTCTTTGATTCATCTATTGCCGGTAAAGAAAATAGAATCGGTTGGTCTTGAGAAGATCTATGGGCATGGTAGTTTGTAATGTTATTTTATTCAAGGAAAAGATAAATATATATTGGGATGGGATATGCAATAGCAGAGAAAGGTGTTATAATAATAAATGCATCATTACCTGTTTAGTAAAATGTTGACAACAAGTTTCATTTTCTGGTCCATTGCCAAAATTTCCGTAGAAAAATGAGTTTTCCACCAAAACATCAAAAGAAGGTGCCACTTCTTCAGACAGTATCTACAATTTCAAATAAACATATTTGAGATAGATGTATGGAAATATGTATATTGTGCTTCATTTTCATGTATTTTGAGAATATCCCACAACAGTACCTAACCAATCATCTTATACTTAAAAACCTTATCTTTATCAACAATCTTGATGACCACACTAACAAACCAATTAATGCCCATCAATATTCTTCATGGGTTCAATCAATGTAACTTTTGCACACTCCCCAATTTTATAAACAAAAAAGGCAAAACCTTTTGGTTTCCTAGTCTTCTTATCAGACTTTAGAACTAACATTTGGACAACTTAGAGGTAACTTCTACTATGACAAACTATGTAAACAAATGGAGAATGAGAAAGCTCCTCATAATCCTACGCTTCAACATCTTGATATGTTAATATTTGAGTTTCACAAAAGAACTACCGATAATCAATGTAAGATAAATTCACTTCTACTGAAAAAAATTAATGAAGTAAATAAGAATAACAAAAGATGCAGAGTCTTTTAGCACTTTTAAATATAATAATGAAGCAAATAGGTCAATAGAAAACTACAAATGAAAGAGAAGATTAATACAAGAATAACTTCACAGCAACTAATAAGTACACATACATTCTGAGTACACCAATGATCCACACATTTTCTGTGAACATATTTGGATGTGCCTTTGCACTTGCAAAGAGAAATAAAATCCCTACCTGATAAAGAACAAAAGTTAAAAAAAGGGAGAACCATTCTAATTAACATATATCAAAACTAAAATAAGACATGGTTTAGTATCAATCAACATGTTTGCTTCATACATTATGAAATTCAATGCCAACATTTAAAGAACCTTTTAAACCATAATATTCCATGTCAATGAATATTTATATAATAAGAACAAGAAAAATACGATGATATTGGATTACAAGGTGAACATAAATCACATTAGGTCATCAAAGTAAGCAAAAACTCTTCTATTTATTACAGAAAAGAATTGTAGATTTGTGAACCCAATCTCTTGCAATACAATGCTGAAACGGTTAAACAAATTCCAACTTTCCCTATGCAGGATTATAAATTTTACAAATTAGTAACACGGGAAACATTTGAACCCCATACCACTTATGTAACCGTTTTCACGCATAAAAAACTACAAAATCACCATTTTTTTCCTCTTCAAAACTTGTTGAATGATAAAGAAAACCTAATGACTGAACCATTTTTTCTTGAAACCCAGAAAAAAGATGCACGTCAAAGGGAAATTTTAATGAATTTGAGGTAAATTGTTAGTAAAATTAACAATGATCCTTGAAACACTAAATTCCCAGAAATTTTACACAAAATTGCCATAAAACCTTATAGGTCCTTCCTCAATCTCACGATACATGGAAAATATCCCCAACAATATCCCAGAGGAAATCTCAAATGACACATTCCTAACATAAATCTTCATCAATGCCAAATGAGCAATACATACCATTTGATATAGAGGAATTGAAATTGATCATCTACACATGAAAATCCACATTCAGCAAGCTGGAAATAAAGGAAAATCGATAGAGCCGACGCTGGAAATTGAAGCCCCACATTCCGCAGTCAACTAAACCTTAATAGAAATAGAAAAGAGAGGCAAAAATTAAACAAGAAATAGAAAGGAGACAATAAGAAAGGACAAGTCTCGTACAATATGAATGGTTGTGTGGAGAACGGAGTAAAGAGGGAGGTTGTGTGAACAAATGGATTAAGATTGTGAGAAGAAAAATGTGTCATGCTTGAGAAAGCTAAAAATAAAAAAATAAAATTGTTATAACACTAAATATATGATGTCAGCATGACATCATTGATAATGCTTTATGAATAGTAACCTAATTTGCTCTTTAATATATTGTATGGATTAATAATAAATAAAATAACTGTAAAAAATATATATATCGATATGTAAACGAGAAAATAGTATCAATTGGACCGGGTCATTCCGTAGTCCCTTAATGTGTAGTTAACTAGTTATAGACTAATCACTAATGGGAAAAAAAAAAATTCAAAAATCAGGCTTTAAGTTTCACAAATGCAAAATTCAATTAGTTATTTATTAATTAAATATAATTAATGGTCTCGGATATATAATTATAGGTCACAACTTTTATTAATCACATATTATCAAATTAATTTGTCACGGATTATTTCGATATTACAAATCAAAAATTTTATAGGTCATAATTTATTTCGTTGGTCACAGATCAAAAAAATTATATGTCACAGTTTATT